AAAAGCCTTTATTTGTTTGGTAGTAATATATCAAGGCCTTTCTTCCCCCAGTAAATATACAAATTTCTCCCAATAAACGCAGTCAGTTCACTGCAAACAGATCCTTATGATGACAGTGGAGTTATCTGATGGAAATTCACTCACCACCATCTGACAGTTCTCAGGAGATTTTAAAAATAGAGTTGGGGTTTCCGTTGTCAGTCTGCTCCTTCAGCAGTGGTTGGATCAAAGCCTAATCTCAACTCTGGAGCATACGTCCATATCTTATATCAGGTCATCAGCAAGGCAGAATAAGGATATCATTAGACAGCAATAAAATGTAGTCAGTCCTTTTCACAAAAACGAATACTTCTGAATGAAAAACTGCTTCAGAAAGTTAGGTGTTTCAGGATTGACCATTTTGCTTCTTTTTTCAATGCAACTTCCAGGTTGCAGACTTTGAAGCATTTACATAGTTTGCTGGCTTTTGTATCCCTGCCTCTCCCCTCTCCCACTTCTTCATGGAAATGAGATAGCATGAGAGAATGACAACAAAGGAGCAACCACACCAAACACCAAGACCAAAAGTAACTTATTCATCATCTGTCATAAAAGCTGAGTACTAAATATTCTTTAAAATCACTCGTTTGATTTCAAACTGTAAGGCAGGAGAAAAAGAAACCTTATTAACAGAGCTGGGGTGAACTAGCCAAGCAGACTGGCTTGATGAAAACCAGTGGCAAAATAAACATGTCCTCTCCTATCAGACAGAGTTCTGTCTTGCTTTAAGAAATGAAGTGACTTTAAGAACACATGTTAATTCTCAGAATGGCAGATTGACATATTCTGTGATGATCAAGGAAGTGGAATCAGCCAAGAAAGGTGTGTCCTGCACAAGTACCTTCTCATTACCTACTGCATGGATCTGTTAGAGTGGGTCCCAAGCAGGGCCATGGAAGTGGTCAGAGGATTGGAACACTGCTCCTATTAAGAAAGGCTGACAGAGTTGGGGGTGTTCAGCCTGGAGAAGAGAAGGCTCCAGAGAAGCATTAGTGAGACCTTTCAATACTTAAAGGCGGCTTAAAAGAAAGATGGAGACTTTTTACCAGGGCCTGTAGTGGCAGGACAAGGGGCCACAGTCTTAAACTGAAAGAGGGTAGATTTAGGTTGGACAGAAGGAAGAATTTTTTTAGGATGAGGGTGGTGAGACATTGGAACATGTTGTCCAGAGAAGTTGTGGATGCCCCATCATTGGAACCCTTCAAAGTCAGGTTGGACGGGGCTCTCAGCAACCTGAGCTAGTGAAAAATGTCCCTGCCTATGGCAGGCAGTTGGACTACATGATCTTTAAAGGTCCCTTCCCATCCAAACCATTCTATGATTCTATGAATTGTGGCGTCAGTATTGGCATGTTTTGCACCTCTGACATTCGTGACCTCTGGCATAATATTATATGAGCAAATGAAGAAATTACAAGATTTATTAGGAAAGGAGGGTATTATAGTTCATTTTAATGAAACATCCTTTTGGAGAGAGAAATGAATGCAAGAAACATTACTGTGTGTGTACATACTTGCATATATTTTGGGGGTTTGGGTTTTTTCCCTAGTTCTTTTACATCTGATGCAAATGATACACTGGCAGAGCAACCAGTCAGCAACAGAAAGATATAACATAGGACACTCATAAGAACAAATTTGTCTTCACTTCAGCAATTAACTGGTAAATGGAGTTTGCAAATACAAAAGAAAAATTTTGGCATAATAAACTCAACCTGCAGGGTTTAACTTGTAAATTTTTGCTGTTTAACAGATGATCAGAAATATTAATGGAATAGCCAGTGTCTTGTCTCAATTACAGATGAACCAATTTAAAAAACTTGGCACTCAACAGCGAGAAGGAATCCAAAGAGAAGCTGTCAGCCTTCTGGAATCTTAGTGCATGACCACTACCAGATTAGTAAAGATACCAATAGCAAAAGACATTTAGGTCATCTCTATTTCAATGAAACCATTTGTATTATTTGGTGTGCACAGTATTTAGCATATTCTTTGAATCATGTATTCTGTATATAAGATCACTGTTAGCTCTCACTATCAACTACAAATATCTTAGCTGCTTATTTAACATCACAGTTTGTAAAAGATTGTAATATTTCCTTTTTGGTCTAACAGTTTTTGCTAGGAAACGTAAATGGTGACTTTGAGGCAAAAATCCTCTGGATCTTTTCAAAGAACTCAATACTGTTCATGGTTTTACGCACTGTCTATACCAATGGTTCGTAAGAGGGATACTAAGGGTACAGCTTTGAAAATTAGGGACCTACAATGGAATAAAATATTATCTATCTTAAATTTCAGGATCTCAAAACAAAATGGAAAAGGTTCTATGAAAAGATGAAACAAAGCAAGATATTTGCTCAGTCAGGATATGAAGTTACAGGCTAGCTGCTTTCTGCATGAAGACAGGGGAAACCTTTTAAAATATTTTTTTTAATAGCATTCTGAGAGGAGATCTTACAGTGTCACAGTTACCTGAATTTAAGTGCTGTCCTTGTCAGGTGTAGGCAGCAGAACCACAGAAAAATGGGCAGTAGCATTTAAGGACATACAGAGTGCTTGCAAGACCCGACCCAGGTCTTTGCACCAGGTCTCAGAGCGAGCCTGTGAATGGGCAATAAATAGTTAAATACTACCTATTCAGTTTTCAGGAGCAAGAGGAAAAAAAAAAAGACGAGATGTGAGCTGGAATGTCACTGTATAAATAAAAAGGTTTTGCCAAGGAGCCAAACATGGAATGACATCATCGATGAGGCAAGATAGATAGGTCTGAAGCAGAAAGGCAGGGGACCACAGACTCTAGAATTACTTGAAGCCTGTCTTTTTAACCATAACTATTTCATATCTAGGCAAAATCAATGACATGTTTTAAAGGAGGTTTCAACCATGAAATCAGAGATTTAGACTAAATCCCAGGCTTCTTCCCCGAACTTTCTACAGACAAGACTGAAACATGGCTGTGAATATATAGCAAATGAGCCAGCAGGCTTGCATGGCTTGGAAAGAATGGAATAGGCATGAATCAGGCTGAAATGTTGTACACAGAAGATCATCAATTATACAGAGGAACAATTCTAAAGGCACTACAATATCTATGGTTATGCCATACCAGTGCATATACAGATATATTAAGGTATAGGTGTAGATGGATATATTCAGTCAATATACAGATATATTAATGTAGAGAACATTAAAGAGCTTTTACACGCAGTGCTACTCTTCAAACAATTTATTAAACTTCTCTGATAATATCCTTATTGAGTGAATGTCAAAATGGCACATAATGCTACCATACATACAGTAATATATGTTACCTAGCAAAACATACTAAATTCTGGGCAAAGCTTTTAAAATTTACTAGACAATTAATACATTTCAATGGCGCATTCCATTCTGCAGACCTAGAGGCTATACACCCACGATTCAGCATCAACCTGAATTACTTCCCCAATGTTAAACTGCAGAATTAAAAGAAACTTTTAAAAGTGAGCTTGGCACCTACAAATTATTTTAATATATGCTTAATATGAGGATATGTCTTTGAAATCCAGCCACATCTTCCATTTCTTAGTCCACTATGCTGATACTGTACTATGTATATGCACATATCTGTTAGTATACCATGTTTTCCATCAGTAAAATTATTCAAACCAGAGCCTGCTAAGATGAATTACACTCCTATTTTGACAAAAAATTCTGAAAACCCATAAACGGATAAAAAATTCTGAAAACCATAAATTACCGTCATGTATATTTAAACTTAATGATCTGTTACAATCCTGAATTATGACTTGCTGGAAATCTATTTCAGAAGTGAGCACTCTGATATTTTTGGCAATTCTTTAAAACAAAAAACCTCACTATACTCAGTAATCAACCACATCTGTTACAGTTTAAAAGGGAAAAAGCATCAGAGGCAGGCAAAATTCCAACAGAAATCTTTCAAATAAGATTTGAAAAGGACAGTAGGTATTTTAACAGCCTCCATACAAAATATATGAAGAAGGACAGAATAAAGAGGAAAACATGGCACAGAAATAAAATGTGAAAATTGTCAACTGCTGTCCATCCACTGTCAAGTATTTACACATACTACTGAAGCTGGCCTATAGAAAGTGGAATACTCAAGGTTTAGACAAGAACTGGCAGGAACAGGGTATTGAAAGAGCTTAAGTGAATCATATCCATCATACACATCCTAAAAAATAAAAAATTAAAACCACCAAACAGCTGCATGGCAGCTTCCCCTGCACAGTGATTTTACAGATGTCTTACAGCTATTGCTATTCCAGTAGGAGATACCTGCAAATCTGCAAGCAGTAGCAGTGTTTAAAATAAAGTGACAAATAAATCAGTACCTTCTAGCACACTGAGTGGAAATATGTGAGCTAACTACATGTTCAGCCATAGATGTCTGTCTTCAACCATGTTCTCACTACATTGGATCTGTAATCGAGAACAACTACAATTAACGGGAATAGAATGATTTCCCATAAAACTAAGACAAATATTTCTCAGTGTCTGTCTAATTGATGTTAAAAGCATGATAAACACATGTTAATTTGCTTTGGTTTTTTTCATAAATTAGATGGTGGACCCTGCCAAAGGAAAGTGCACTTAATTTTGTAATTTAGTTGATTTCTATAGAAAAGTCAACAACACTGTATTTCCCAATGCTTCTATCCCAGATAAGATGTTAGCAGTGTTTGCTTACTTGCAAATTGCTCACAGGGTTCACTTACAAAGTCTGTAGTAGCCGTTCTACCAAAAATCAGCCATCCCATTCACTAGCAATTTAGAAAGCCAAACCTGAATAAGTTTTCAGCAGAAAAGTTCATAAACTTTTAATACTATTTAATAAACACTTAGATCCTTTGCACTTTTACAAGTTTTAACCACATAGAATCACATCAAATGACACTGAGGAGCTGGAGGTGACCTTCAGACACTGTCTAGTCCTACCCCTGTGCTCAAAGCAGAGTCAACAGCAGCAAGGTGCTCAGGACCATAGACAGTCCAGTTTTGAACATCTCCTGAGACAAAGACAGACTTTCTGGACTGCCTGTTCCAGTGTTTGACCATCCCCACCACACAAAAAATTACTTTATTTTCAGGACCAGGACTGAAGTTTGTTAGTAAAACTCTCTAGACTCACAAGCATGCAAAAATTTGCGGTTCCCTAAACTACCAGCACAGGCCCTCTGCCTGTCTAATACCTGAGTGTCATACTTGCCAGCTAGTCCAGTTTGCAGCTTGCTAGGCAAATGACATGCTTGTGCCCACACACCCCAGGTTAGGGGAAAATATGAACTCCAGTTCCGCCCCCCCCAGCAGCTGGTGTTTAGGCACACAGGCCCTAAGAGCCACAGTTCCCATTCCAGCTGCTCACACTAAGACCCTCACTTCTTTTCACTCACCCCAGACCCCTACAGCTCACACCTAGGGCACACAGGACCCGTGAGCCATGGTCCCACACCAGCAGCTAACACTGAAACCCTCGCTTGCTCCAGTTGCTGGTACAGACACAAGTGTCCCTCACCCAACGTCCAATTCCAGTTGCTGGCTCAAATCCACTCATCCCAGTTCATACAGTAGCTGTCAATCATTCTAAAATCCATGGCTCCTCCAGCTACCGATTGAGATACTCATACTTACTCCAGTTACTGGCACCACAGACACAGGGGCTGCTTCACCTGAAGTCTGATTCCAGTTGCTGGCTCCAAATTCACTCCCTCTAGTTTCCCCAGTTGCTAGCACTCATTACTTACAGCACACATGCACAGGGTAGAGAGCAAGATTACATGAAAGATAGTTAAGCAAGTATTTAATAGGAAGATAAACTGCAGTGATCAGGCACAGGGCTGTCAGGCAAGCATACTGACTGGACAACCCTTTTTATATCCCCTCCTCTCTATCCCCTAGCACCACCTTGCTCTTCCCCAATCCCCTTCCACTAAACATCTCTTCCTAAGTTTTGCAGGGTCCTACAGACCCCCCTGAAATATTCAAAATCTTCATGTTTGTCTTCTTCAGTTATAAAGTCCAGCCTGGCTCTCTCCAAATTGCTGGCTGTAGCTTCTTCATCGACCATCAATTAATAGCCAAAGGGCTTTGATCTTTGTCATTGTCTCCGTTTTCCCATGTCTGCTAGGTCTGTATCCTTATGTGGTTTTGTTTATCTACCAATCCCCTCCTCCACCCCTTCTTCTCCACTTAGTCCTTGTTTTAAGAATGAAAGGAAAAAGAATCAGCACAGATTTTAATGCTGCTTGGGGAAGGAAATAAGTTGGGAAGGACCCCGTAGAATGCTCAAAGGTTGTCATTTCAAAACCAGATAGAACAGCTGCAGTCTTTGATGAGTGCTTTAAATAGCAGAAAAAGCTAACACTTCACAGCATGTTAGGTTTGCATATGATCAAAATACATGTATAGAACACCAGTGGTTTTTTAACGCTACACCATCACAAACACCATTGGTTCAACTGATGGGTGATGCAGGTACAACACAGCACACAACTGTAAGTGATGAAACAGAAGAAAGTTTCACTTTTGATATCGTATTTCAAATGCAGACACTTCTGTTTCAGAGAGGTACAAATTTTCTTCCTCAAGTTTACAAGTTACTGTGTGCCTGAACTTCCAAAATTAAAAATCGAACTGCCTGCTTCCATGAAAGCTTAGCTATCACTGGAGAGTTAATTTAGATTCTCTAATCGGGAATACTGAGGCTGACTTTATGCTTGCATGTGCTAAGTTGGACTCCTATCTTTCCTGACATATGAAGAAAAAGGAAATTACAAAATCTATCATCACTTCAAGCTGTCTTACAAGGGAATCATTACACTCCCACTGTGGGTTTCTGCTACAGAAATTACTCCTTGACATCCATTATTTCAAAACGTTAATGTATATGAAACTCACCTGGGGTAAGAAAATTACTTATGAGTTACGAATCTTCCAAGTATTCCATGACAGATTTTTTTTCCTTTTTTTTTTTTTAATTTAAATATTGATCCACATTTTGCTTCATATAGAATCTATGACTTTTTGTTCATCTAAACTTGCAACAGACAAGCAAAACCTCTCATTCTAGTTTTATTGCACTGGGTAGAGCAGTGAGGAAAGTCACTTTAACAGTTCCACTCATATTTCAAAACAAACAGAAGTAGCAGTGAGAACTCCAAATCTCTGGCTATATCTGCTAGACTTTATCTTCACAGTCAGTTTCACAAGAAAAACAGACAGGCTTTAACCAAAATATAGACAGATAAATAAAATTTCAGATTCTAATAGAATACTTTTAAATAGCAAAATTTAAATAGTGAAAAATGTGTGGGCCCCACAAATTAAAACAGATGTTAAGGTATTTGAATGCATCCAGGGGAGGGCCACAAAGCTGGTGTAAGGGCTGGAAGGCCCCGTCCCATTAGGAGTGGCTAAGGACTCTGGGTTTTTCTAGTTTGGAGAAAAGGAGACCAAGGGGCAACCTCACTGCTCTCTACAGTTTCCTGAGGAGGGGAAGTGGAGAGGGAGGTGCTGATCTCTTCTCCCTGGGATCCAGTGACAGCACATGTTGGAATTTCTTTACTGAGAGGGTGGTCAAACCCTGGAACTGGCTTCCTAGAAAGGTGGTCAATGCCCCACGCCTGTCAGGTGTTTAAGAGGCATTTGGACAATGCCCTTAACAACATGCTTTAACTTTTGATCAGCCCTGAAGTGGTCAGGCAGCTGGACTAGATGATCATTCTAGTCCCTTCCAACTAAACTATTTATTCTAAACAAAAAAAAAGTTAGTAGGAAGGACCCAATAGTATAAACAGAGGCGCATAAACAACTTTTTCCTGCCCATTTTGGTCCTGCATACAGGTCCTTGCTTCAAAGTTGGTTTTACAAAAATCAATTACTTTTTGACTGATTGCAAATCTAAGCACTCAGAAAATTCTGTCATCATTGAGGCCTCAATGGTTGCACCATGTTCCTTTCAGAAGCTGCTGCCTGAACTGTAGCCTCCCACTTGCATGTCATTTCCAAGTTACTGCTACATCACAGTAGAATCTTCCCACCCCTCACTGCTCCCAAGCTCAGCAGCAGGAAAGGAACCACCCCTCCCTTCCCAGTCTGTCCAGTCCCAACTCAGCCATTCCTAAGAGAAAATAACTGTGAACATTCATTGCCTATCAAAGATGGTTTTCAAGAAATAACTGTATGTTCTAAAAAAGCTAGGCCAGCAGTCAGTTTTGTTACTAGTCTTGTTTAAGAATCACATCAGGGAAGCTAGCAAAGAAACATGCAGCAGAACATTTATTAGGATGATTTTACTCAATGATTTTACTCAGATCAGATTGAAAATTATTTCAGTTACAAAGCAAGCGTCCAAAGTTAAGAGAATGGATGAGAACCAACTTTTGTATAGCTGAGTCCAGACAAGACCACAAGCCTGGAAATAAACAAGTATTAGAGCAACTAGCATGACTTATGAGCGCTCTTATCATTTGTGACTCACGCTCACAACACTGAGATGTTACTAAATCTAGGTTCAGAAACTTACAAAAATCACAGCCACCATAGCCTCAGTGTTTCTATACATACACAGATACTACATTTTTCTGTTTCTATGTCTTCTACTTTACGTAGAGACCAGTGTGCTGTAAATTATCAGTCACAGAGCTTATTCAATGGGAGTAAATTGAGGCACAAACTTGAGTTCAAACAAGTCATCAATTTGTTGAGAAGTTATATGGAAAGAACAAAACAGCAATTTCCTAAATGCAAACAGTAGGAATTCACACCACTGACTTAAGCAATGAAGACACAGTTATACAACAGTAGTAGAGAGAAAAATATTTTCAAACTAACACACCTGGCACCACCTCCTCCTTCCTGTAAAATTTAGTACTTGCTTCCTTTCATACTTTACCCTGGATTAACAAATATTCTGGCTCTGCTACAAACTTATCATCTCCATATAAATATCATCTCAAATTATTACCTTAGAGCCATAAATGGTCCAGGAGGTTGAAGATGACTAAAAATGGTATCACAGAACATAGCTAAAAGAATAACTGTAATTCCTGTAAAATTGTAGTAATCATTAGAATGAAGTACAAAGCATAGATCTTTAAAATTAGGTTATCAGATTAATTTTTGTTTTAAATAAGAACTGCACATCTACCTTCTGTTATTAGTTCTGCTGATTCAATGCCGACCTACCACCACCAAAGTTTTGCAGCCATGGAATTTTCTGAGGTTTTTTAAATGCTCATGCATGATTAAATAAACCATATAGGCAAATTTATTTATTTCAAACCCCACACTGTATCAAAACCAAATGAATATACAAGTTTTTTCTTTGGTGCTAGGGCACAAAAATTTGACTTCTTAAGTAACATAATACAGGTTTTTTTCACACTTACTACTAACATGTTCTCTGATACCGTCATCTTGGTAGCTTTTGTCTAGATAATACAAGTAGTTTGATCTGGAAGTCAGAATAAACTTACAGAAAAGTCTTACTCATTGAACAATCATGTTTAACTTCTGAAAATTAAGGTATTATATAAACAATTGTTTTGTTTATATAATTTTATTGGACTTGATTTCATTCATTCAAGTTTCAAAAATACAGGTTTGAAGGTACACTCTATGATGTGTATCAGGTATAAATATTAGGAAGAAAAGACAGCTTCTTGCCTGAACGCTCTTGTTTAGGTCCACTTAACTTGTATCCCTGAGCTAAAGCTCCCTAAAATCTCAGTCTGGATCTAAATTTCCTGCCTCTGGCCCACTTTTAGGGAAAAAGGAGCCATGATACTTTCTACTATTATTATTTGGGGGTGGACAGGAAATCTTCTAGACAGAAAACACTTTATATGGTTTTGTGTAAAGTTCTGTTCACATTGGAAAAATCTGTGAAATGCTTTTTAATCTAAGGATAAGCTTGGTTGAATATTTGACCTCAATATAGTCTGGGGACCCAGGGGGGACAGAACCTATCTTGAACCAGATTTAGAATTTCTTGTTTGTAAGTTAACATTGATATTTCAATCTAATATGAATACAAAGTAAAAGATTAAATGCCATTT